CTGTTAATTACGGGTTGTCTTGTGGTGAAATATTGTGTTGCTTACATTGTTCTGTTCTGATCTGCTTTGTTGTGTACTGTTTTGTCTTAATCTCTTTAAAATAAAAAATTAAAAAAAAAGAACCTACCTTCCCTATTTGTTGAGATGAAAGGTTGATAGTCCTTTGGTATTGGACTATGGTGATGATTATGACCCAATACAATCAGTGTAAGGCATAAAAACTGATTGTAACGTTTCACATTCTAACTACATCAACTAGCAATAGTAATAGCATCAAGTATAACATTCCAAGCTACTGCAAACTGTGGTAACTATTAACCTGATACCTTTTAGCACTGCATCAAGTTCTACACTTTGATAACAAAATTCAACATATAGCAGCAACTAATACACAATGGTTTTCCCGTTAGTGGAGTGATTTTACCCTGTTGCAGGCATAGAGGTGTTATCAAGAGGGGAAGGAGGAGCTGGGGATTTAGCTTAGTGGCATAAGCGCCTGCCTTGCAAGCAGGCAGTCGTGAGTTCAATCCCTGGTACCGATAAAAAGGAAAAAGACAAAAAAAAAAAAAAAAAAAAAAAAAAAAAGGCGGGGGGGACAAGATAGAGAGGTTATTGTGGTCAAACGTAATAGAAAAAAGGCCGGATGGCAAAAGATGATCATGCAAGTTTTGAGAAAGTGTAGGACAGGAGAAAAGGATGAAAAAAATAATGAAGTTTTGAAGTGAATCAGGAAGAAAAGTGACAATGTCTACTCATTTGAAGATATAATTTCAAAAGGTAATTGAGAAAAGAGAAAGAAAACAAATAGAAGAAAACAAAAAGGTAGTAAGCCTAATGAATGAAAAAAAAAGAGAACAAAAAAACTGAAATTCAACCAAAACAAAAGTAACCACAAGAAAACAAAATAGCCCAATCAGACAGAAAAAGGACAACCAATCAAACAGAAATAAAATAGTGGAGTTTCTCTGATATTCAGCAGTCTGTGGTAGTGTCCAAGTCAGTTACTAAAAATGTGTTATGTACTCCCGCCAGATCTGCTTTATGCTGTTTATGATTTATGCTGTTTATGATTTACGCTGTTTAACAAGCTGATCTTGACCTCTAGATTTGGGGGCTGTCACTGGTCTGCTGCTGAAGTTCTCCACAGTCCTTTGCTATAGACCGGTGGCCTCATCTGCTTCTATGCTACATGTACCAAAGCATCAGGCTGGTTCAACCAGCTTACTGGCTGCTGGTTCTTCACTACTGCTTCAGACTCCCACACTGCTGGTTACACCCAGGGTTGCATGTGCACCTTTGCCAGAGGCTGGTCTCAATCTCGCTGGTCCCACTGTCAGCATGTGACCACACCTGTTATGGTTTGAGAACTGGTGGTCAACTTAACACCAGCTGGATTACATCAGCATGCATTGAGAGAAGATGCTCCAGCTGAGGAGGGTTTCCAGGATAAATAGGTGGAGAAGAAGAGAGGTGGAGAGGGGTTGAGGCATTAAGGAGTCATTGTGGGTTCTCCGAGTTGCTGTCTGAGCTGTTGGTCCTCCTGGAGAAGCTTTGGTCTTCACATCAAGCATCGATTCCTGGCTCCGGAGGGGAAGACATGTGCTGCTTGGTCTCCAGGATGAACTTGTCACGCTGCTTCCTGGCACGTACCCGACTGTGCTTGTGGTCGTAGGAGCTCAGGGCCTCCGTGTCGCTGAGGACAGCTGTGGTGCCTTTCAGGACAGCCCCACTCTTCGTTGTGAGTGTGACTTCTCAGCTCCAGTGTAGAACCCTCATCCCACTAGCACAGTTCCTTCATCCTGCTGGCATAGACTTTCTGGCTTCCACCGCAGACCTTCCCGGCACGGATCCGTAAAAGAGACTGGCGTGAGTCCTTCTTGTGGGCTCTAGACCTCCAGTTGGACTCGTGGGAGGCATTGTCCTGAGCTCTGGGTTTTTATCTGGACTCATATGGGACACTGCTGTTAGGTTTAGGCTCTTGACTAAATAATCTATGTCTTTGGTGTTGGGGATAGATTTCCTGCATTTTCTTGTGTTAACCTCCGGCGACCATTATACAAATATTGTGAACTCCATGTTCTAATCCTAGTTGTTCTCTGTGTACAATCCCTGACTACAACACCACCTGATTACAAGACTACACTGAACCTACTTTCTCAAGGGCACCATCTTCATAAATTCAGTTCTGAAGCATGACAGGATTGACTCTAACAAGCAGTATACTCCTTTCTCCTTGGGATTATTCACTCAGGTTTCTCTATAGTTCTTTTTGCCAAAAATGTTGATATTGCCCCCTAAGCCCCCAAAATTAAATTTTAAAGTGTCACACCTGTGATGAAAACTAAAGTACCAGTTTGAGCCTCTTTAACTTTCATATTTTTTTCAAAAGAATTTGCAATTTTCTCATTAGAGTATACATAGTATGCTTTATTGCACTACTAGATGAGTCTATTTCACTTCAAGATTTTGCACTGTATTAGAAGTTCCAAGAGTATGGAGGGATTTGTTTATTGTTGTACTCTAACCTGAAAAAATCTAGGCTATAACAGACAATTAACATCTAATTACTGAACAAGTATGTTAGGAATCAACTACATTTAAGTGTTCACAGCGTACGAGTCACTAATAAGCAAATACTACTAAGAACTTAGTATTTGTGCAGTGTTCATATTTTTCCAAGAACTCTCATTCGATCCTTCCAAGGAGCCCATGAGATAGATTTTCACATATGAAAGCCAGAAGTCAGAAAATTTAAGCAACTTGTTGTTTTCATACCTACTGTTAAGTTTGTCCTAAGAGATACTCTAAAGTGCAAAGTTTTTTTATATGGTATTTTTTGCAGTAAGTTCAATGTTTCACTAAGTGAAATGTTATAAAATGTCCCTGAAAGCTGAATGTGATGGGACATGCCTATGGTCTCAGCACTTGGGAGACTGAGGCAGAATAATTACCATGAGTTTGAAGTTAGCCTGGGTTACATAGTGATTTCAAGGCTAGCTTAAACTACGTAACTAGTGACACCCTGACTCAAAAAACAGAGAGAAGATGACAAAGACAGAGACACAAAGAGACATGCAAGACAGGAAGAGAAGGAAGAAAGGAAGGAAGGAAGGAAGGAAGGAAAGGAGGAAGGAAGGAAGAAAGGGAGGGAGAAGGGAGGGAGGGAGGAAGGGAGACAGGCAAGCAGGGAGAGAGGGAGGAAGGAAAGAAAAAAGGAGAGGGTGGAACAGAGAGAGGGAGGTAAGAGAGAGAAAGAAAAAAGAAAAGAGGGAAAGAGAGAGACAGAGACAGAATGAATGAAATCCCAAATGCTATGCACTGGGGGCTTGGTAGCCAACTGAGGGGTTTTTAAAACATGACTTTCTGCTTTGCTTGGCCACGTCCACTGTACCATGATGTTCTCCATCACCACAGATAACAATGGAGCCTGCTAACCATGGACTGAAGCCATGAGCCAAAGAAAGAATTTCCTCTTTGTCAGTCTCAGGTAATTGGTCACAGCAACACAAAACAAACTAAACATACCACTGGCACTCCAATACTTTCTATTATTTTATGACATAAGATGAAAAAGGTGACTAATTTGGGTGGCTGTCACATGAAGTTTAAAGTATATTCTTTCTTACTCTTTTATTGCTAAGACACAATACCTGATGCCCACTTCTTAAAGGAGAAGTTTATTTGGGTTCATATTTCAGTCCATAGTAAACTAACTTTAAAGAAAAAACAGTACAGCAGAAGGGGACACAGGAGAAAAAGCTGCTTACCTCATGGCAAGTAAAGAGGAAAGGGAACAGCTAGAAGGGAGATACACCTCTCTAGGCCAAGCCCCTGTCACCCACCTCTTCCAACCAGGTCCCACCATAATAGCATATTATCCAATAATTCCACCAAAGAGTACAGCACACCCATGATCCAATCATCTCCCCAAATTCCCACCCATAATCACATGAGGCTGGGGCTGGGGGATCAAAACACATACAGATATAAAACATAACACATCCAAAGTTATCTTTGCGTTTCACTAATCTGTTGCAATATAACCCATGGTCTATTTGAATTAAAAGTCTGCTAAACATAAAGATTCTTGAGCTCTCTTACAAAATTATTTATCTATCATTAATATGGGGGGTTGTCAGGGAAGTCTTTAAATAAGTACTCTCATTTACACACAAAGTTCAAGATTTCCTGGATTTAATTATCATTTCTGTAAATACTATTTTTCACATGGTATAATTTTTATTTTAAAATCCTGCCAAGGAACTGTTATGAACTATATATTCCCACAATAAATATTCTTTTCCTAGGTCTGTATTATAGTTTTAACTTCTGTATTCAACCTTTTAAACTGTCTATACATAAGGGTATGCTCAAACACAGCTTCACCAAGAAGTCTTAAATGACTGTCATCTTCTTAAATGCCCTAGCACTTGGTCTTTGATTTAACTATTATATACTAAACCACATAAAATTATTACCCGTAAGAATATAAGTTCCTCCTGTACAAAAAGAACTGTACCTGATACATCTTAGGATGCCACCATTAATGCTAGTAAGCAAACATTTATTATCAGTAAAGGACCTCAAACTGCTTCCATTGAATTAGTAGGAACAAATTATAAGATAAAAGGACTGTTACAAATCAAGTGACTTAGGTACTGTCACTTTCTACAAAAAGACACATGAATATATTGGCAAACAGCAGGCATTCCATGTTTTCCGAGTAGAAAAATACTGACATTTAAATACAAAGTGTTCTTCATAAAATGTGTTTCATTAGAGTATAAATTTCCTACTTCTCATTTTTTTGAAGATTTAAAAGATTTCATACTAAATATACACACACTTTTAGATTTTTGCTGTGAAGTCGGCAGTGATAAGAAGCTATCACACTCTACATTCAACTTACTATTCAAGTATAAAATTCACTAATATGTCAGGGTATATTTTTGGTCATTGTTACCTTAGTTTTATTAATATCAAAAACAACAAGATCTGAATAACTTAATAGAATTTCATTTAATAAATGAATATTTAAAGTTCATCTCTTCCAAAAACAGCATTTTAATTACATTCAAATTGTATTCACTTTACCAACAAACTCATCATTTATATACAAGGCTAGATATTAGAAAACAGATTAAAATTAAACAAGTTGTAATTTTAAAAAGTTCTTCCAAATTTTGAATACTGTGAATTACTAAATGTCTACTTTTTTAAAAAAAGGTAAACACTATCAGGAAAATGTAAGTTACTCTAATAAGAAAAAAAGGTAATACATACAATGGAACATATTACACATAATTCACATTAACTCAATTTACAGGTGTGTTTCAAAGTATTTTTAAAAAGCTAATTACTAATACAGGCAAAATTCACAGCTGACATTCTAAATTAACATATCAATATATATTTTTTCTCAGAAAAAGTAGAGGGTTCTTAAGATCTTATGTTGACCCATAATTTTTCACTTCTTTATTCTCAAATGCAGGACCAGAGGACTTACAAGTTTTCTTTTTGGTTTTTAAACTGGACTCATGTTCTCATAATAATAGTGACTCAAATATGTCATGACGAATATATTAAACCTGTTCAATATTTAGAGTTCAGTAACCAATACATTTCATTTAGTTTCCCCCATACATCTATTTTCCCCTTAAAAGTCTCTAGAAAAACTTTATGAACAGTATCAAGCCAAATAACCCTGAGAAGGCCAAGAAGTATGTAACCTGGCAGTAGTACGAGTTTGCCAAAAAAAAAAGTTTTCTCTATTTATTAAATCATAAGTGTAAAAAAGGGAAAATCATATCTGAGAAGATAAGTCAAGAAAAAGTAATGAAAAATAAATGGAAGAAGACATTTGGGACTGTGTTCCTTCTGCAGGTTAGTTTCAAGAACATATACCAATCCAGTTATCGACAATGAGCACTACTGTTTTTAACTTTTATCTAACTTAAGCTTCTGTAACCAAAACAAAAAGGTCACAATTGCTGTGCTCATGTAAGAGATACATAAAGTTTGTTAAATGGAAGGAAAATAAGAAAGGATATAGTATACATCAAGTGAAAAAGGCAGGACAAGGAATAAAGGCAAGCACTTGAACTGATCTAATCAACAAAGTCACAGTTTACTGCATTTTATCATCATGCCAGAAGAACTTCTCTTATTCCTTTAATGTATTTCAGATTAAAAATGATAAAATGAATAGACCTTAACACATTCTATTTTTTAAAAGAATATTTTTAGAATTTGATTGGCTGTATTTATTAATGCTACTTCTTAAAGAGTTGACTCATCTAAAATGGTGCTCAGATGTACTGATACATTCAGGCCTTTCCCACATTACAATCATCAATAAGAGTTTAAGTCAGGGTTTTAAGGAAATGTTTAACTTCAAAGTAAGTTTGTTTAAAATATACTGCTGCTATATCAAATGATGAACTATTACTATTTTATTCCTTACAAACCTATTATTAACAAACATTATACAGGCATTCCCTATGATCACTATAAAGATTTAATGATCTTTTTCTCTTACATAAACATGGTGGTAACTCTGAAGCAACACTCTAAACCAGAGAAGGTCATTCAGTGACACAAAAGCCTATGTCAGTTTTTGGAAGTCAGTGCATTCAACAGTTATAATAGGCATGATTTCTTCCACAGCTGATCTCTAGAAGGGGAAAAAGAAAAAAAAAGATAAATAATATGAAAGTCATCCTAACTGTGATAAATACTGCCAGTACTCAAAGTCAAGTATGGTACAACCTGAGTGTCAATCAGTTGTGGATTTTTCTCCCAGTGGAAGACGTTCCCATAACTGCAGCAACTGTTCACCAACCTGAGGTTCTAGTTCCTAGATTGAAGTCAAAATAAACATAAAAAGAACTGGAATAAAATTTTACTGACTCAGCAAAATCTATACAGATGAAAATGTTTTTAAAAAATCACTCTAAGTTTTCTTTTTACCAGAACATGCTAAACAGTATGGTCACATTGTTCTAATTTTTTGGTAAGTTTAAGGTGAATAAAGTTAACTTTTTGAGTAAGACTATAATTAATGTATAAATATCTTATTTTTATTACAAATGGCAATAGATCTCCAAGATGTTCTTTTGGATTTTTGTGTATTTGGAATTAATGGATTTTGTATTAAATGGAAACAGTGAAAGCACTTATTTTTCACCAAGAGAGTATCTTAAGTGACAATATACTTTAATCTTAGGAATTAAATTTATTTCTAATCTTTATTATACAATAAAAATATTACTGCAGAAATCAAAAGAACTCCACTTTATAGTTTTCCTGTGGCATAATCTCTGATGAGTACCTAAAAAGGAACTTAAAATGCTTTTCCTATAGTGATGTGAAAGATGTGAAATAAGCCAAACTAATTCAGATAAATGACTGTCTAACCTCAGGCAATGTCAGTATGTAAATCTATTTTTTTTTTACATAAAACTGGACTAATAACTAATTTTATTTATGAGAACTAAATTATTTAACTAGCACTGTGTCTTAACACTGCACTAATTCCCATTATTTTAACTAGCATAAATTATACATAAGTAGTATCACAAAAGCAAAGTAATACTTAATAAAAATAAAATAAGCTACTAGAATATTAAAGTTGTTATTTACACAATTAGTTTAAATGACAGGGGTTAAATACTATTTCATTTTGAGACTTTTGTCAAATTACCTTATGACTGCACTAAGTTTTGACTACACATTAACGTAACCACCATGAAGCAACTTATGAAACATTTCACACATGTAATGACAGCAATACAACTTACAAAATGTTAAAAAAATAAAAAGCTGTAAGACACATTTCACAAGTATACTTTTATCAAAATTCTTTCCATGTACACATGGAATATATATTTTATCAAATTTTATGAAAAATTGTTTCCATGTACAATGGAAATATATATTTTGTAGTTTTTCCTGTGAGCCTTGAATAATATCAACAGAAAATAAAATTCGAAGGAAAAGGAAAAAATATAAATACCAGTGTATACCTGCCCATCTCTGCTTATCTGTACTTTCTTGTTGTCATTCCAAGGATTAAGTAAATGATGTGCAAACTGAAAGGGAAGGCTTTCTTTTCGTATCCACTCAACCTTAAATACTCCGCCTAGTCCAGCTGAGCCCCAGTCTTGGCTCTTCTCCCTTCCTATCTCAGAAGACATCCTTGAAAACCCCTGTAGGTAAAGGAATGTGTAGAGGTGAGAATATTAAAATATATAAGCTTACATGATAAAGTTTCATTTCCTTAAAAAACAGAAAAAGCTATTTAATTTTATAAAAAGATTTATTATCAAATTTTAGAGGAAAGACCAATTCTGCTCTAATATAATTTTAAATATTAGGAGTTTCTAATGTATCAACAGTTCTAAGCCCATATTTAATACATAAAAATGTAGCTGGGCATTGTGGTGAATCCCAGCACTCAGGAGGCTGAGCCAGGAGGATTGTCACAAGTTTGAGGCCAGCCTGGCCATCACAGTGAGTTCAAGGCCTGCCTCAACTATATGACAAGACCCTGTTTCAAAAAACTAAGAACAAAACAAAAAAACTAAGTTTTTATTTTTAAAACTTTTAATACTGATAAATTATTTTGTAAATTCATACATATAAGAAGAGTTATGCACAGTTTCTTCACTGTCAATACAAACTTTTTCAGCCTATTTAATTAAGGTGAAGTTTCTTTTAATAGACCTGAGAACTACTCAATCTAAATTCCTAGTTCTATTATCCCCCTGAAAGATGTAAAACATTCCTCGAGATAAAGACATTCTTGTATCCCAACAAAATAAAGAGATAGTGTTGTTTTGTTTTTTCTGTCCAGTGTAATTTAAAGCCAGAATAAGCCCATTCTACAGTTTGAGGATGGCTCACCTGGAAGTGTCCAGATCCTTGAACAGAAAATACCAAGTAAACCATGCTGCTTTCCCAAAAGGCTCGATTTAGCTTTCGCTCATTACTTGGGGTGGTAGACCAGATACCCTTCTGCTGAGAAATTTCAAGGTTTCTCAGATTGCTACTCTTCATTATGAAGTACCGAACTGGCATGTTTGGTCTTGGTGAAGGAGATTTTGAGCCCTATAAAAGAATGCACAAGTTCCTGGAACATAATTTGACCTTTCAAAAGTAGTAGACTCCATTAAATAACATCTTCAAAAAATGAAATAACATATTCATAAACCAAGACATTTAAAAATGCAAACAGCTCAGTCATGCCTGAAAACTGATACAAGTGTCAACCAAAACGATTTTTTTTTTTTTTTTTTTTGAGACAGGTTTTCACTATGCAGTTCAGGCTGGCCTTCAACTCACTTTGCAGCCCAGGCTGGCCTCGAACTCACAGCAGTTCTCCTGCCTAAGCCTCCTGAGTGTTGAGATTAAAGGTGTACACTCTCATACCCAGCTAAAGTTAAATTTAGAACTAAAAATCACTACTCATTTTTAAAGCATTCAAAATACCAAAAAAAGATCCTAGGTTATCGATTTTGATTTGATTTCCAATAAATTATCAGAAAAAATTTTAATCAACTTTTAAATTCTGAAAACAAAACTAAAATTGTTCCAGCTTACTGCCTGGAAACAATTTCTAGATGACAAAAAAAGAGACAATCCAGTAGTCTCAGTGAGTTACAAAGACAGAGACAGCAGTGAAGAGACTAAGGTAGCTACAAGTTTGCATGGCCATGTACTGGATAAAAAGGCACTGCATAGAGAGCTCTGGAGGAAATGCAGAGAGGTCCCCGCTGAGCCCAAACGAGCAAGCAACAGAATGTACTGAGTCTAGGAAAGATCTAAAGGAGAGCTACTACGCCATCATGAGAACTCACGTTTGCCTGCAAATATTTCATACTATTCTCAGAAAGAATAGAGACTTTGTAATACTTACGGCATTAGCCCACAGAAGGCTCATACCTTAGTATTAAAGTTAAATTAATGCCAAAACAAAAATTACTCTGGACTTATTCTAACACTACTTGCAATCATACCTCTTAAAGATTAAACTGGTTACTAATGAACTATACAACAGAACAAAGCCTAACATTAAGGGAATATAATTACTTAACAATCAGATAGGTTTATAAGAAATGGAGAAAAAAGTGAATATATTTTATTGCCATGAAAAAAGAAATCAAGACAAGCCACTTCATAAATGGCAGATTTAGAAAACAAGAGGACTAAAGCAGCTATCAAAAATATGTTTATAATGCTTAGGAAGGTACAGGAATACATGAACATAATGTAAAGAAAAAAAATTTTTGTAGATTTCAAGGTAATTACTGCAGGTAAAAACATAATATTTGAAAACACATTAGAAAGAATGAACTACATGAGACACTAAAAATATCAGTGAACACAAAGACATAGCCAGCAGATCCCAAAATATCCATCAAAAGACTCTAGAAAAACCAAATTCAGTAATGTAGCAGAATACAAAACCAACACACACATACACACATGTAAAAAAAAAAAAAAAAAAAAAAAAAACCAGTAGTATTCTTGCACACTGATAATGAACTCACTGAGAAAAAATTAGGGAAAAAAAATACCATGTACAATATCACCATGAAAATTTAAATACTTTGGAATTGGGCCAGGGGTTAGCTCACCGGGTAAGTGCCTGATTCGCAAACACGAAGATGTGAGTTTGGTTCTGGGTACAAAAAAAAAAAAAAAAAAAAAACCTTTAGAATTAACCTTAGAAAGTAAAAGATGCCTACAGTGAAAACCATAGTACCCTGAAAAAGGAAATTGAAGAGGAAGGACATCAGAAACTAGAACAGTATCTCCTGTTCCTGTATAGATAAAACCAATACAGTCCAAAACAGCCATACTTCCTAAACTGTTGTACAGATTTAACACAATACCAATCAAAATACCAATAATATTCTTCACCAAACTGGAAAAAACAATCCTAAAATTCATATGGAACCAGAAAAGACCCAAAACAGCAAGTGCAATCCTAGGTAAAAAAGAGCAAAGCAGGAGGGATTACAACCCTGGGCTTGAAGTTATATTACGAAGCTACTATGATTTAAAACAGCATGACACTGGGAACAGTGGCACACACCTGTAATCCCATCATTCAGGAGGCTGAGCAGAAGATCACCACAAGTTCAAGGCCAGCCTGGGCTACACACTGAGTTCAAGGCCAGCCTGAACTACATAACAAGACCCTGTCTCAAAAAAAATCCAAGAGAAAAAAAAAAAAAAAAAACAGCATGATACTGGCACAAAAAGTAGACACAAGGATCAATGAAACAGAATACAGGATGCAAAAACAACCTCCAGTACATTCAACCATTTGATCTTTGACAAAGGGCCCAAAAAACATACATTGGAGAGAGGAAAAATAAGACTTTAATAAATGATATTAGGAAAACTGGATATCCACATACAGAAGATTGAATCTACATCCTTATATCTCATCATGTACTGACTAAAATCATAATAGATCAAAGTTAAACTAGAAATACTTAACCTACTGAAAGAAAAAATAGGTAAAAACTCTTAAAATCATAGGTGTAGGCAAGGACTTTCTGAACAGACACCAGCTGCACAGGAAATAGTTCCAACAAATGTGATCATATCAAATTAAAAGCATGCCTACACAGCAAAAGAATCAACAGAGTAACAGAGTAAAAAGACAACCTATAGAATGGTAAAAAGGTTTTGCCAGTAATTCCTTAGACAGAGGACACATATCTAGAATATACACAGAACTAAAAAAAAATTTTTTTAAAAAGAGCCCCCAAAATAAAAGACCCAATCAAAAAATGGGCAAGTAAAATGAACAGACATTTCACAAAAGTATAAATGGCTAATACATACACGAAATGCTAGAAATGCTCAACATCACTGACCATCACAGAAATGCAAATTAAAACAACACTGACATTTCATTTTAGCTAAAAAGCATGGCCATCATTAAGAAATCAAATACTTTGTTTAGAGGTTGCAGGGGGAAAAAGGAACCATTCTACACTGTTATGTTAGCGGCAAGGTAAACTAATATAATCACTGTGGAAATCAGTATGCCGATATCTTAAAAACTAAAACTAAGGGGCTGGGGATTTAGCTCAGCGGCATAAGCGCCTGCCTTGCAAACAGGCAGTCGTGAGTTAGATCCCTGGTACGGATAAAAAGGAAAAAGATAAAAAAAAAAACAAACAAACAAACTAAAACTAGAAATTCCATTTGACCCACTATTCTCCTAGATATCTTCCTAAAAGAGGTCACTATTGGCATAGCCTTGAAGGTTACATCTCCCCTTCCTTTGCTCTTCTCTTGCATCTGTTTCCTGTCCACCACGCCCCTCTGCTGGTTTGTCCTGCCTTGGAGCCTGCCAACTGTGAACAACTCCTCCCTTAAACTGCAGATGTCAGGTGTTTTGTTCTAGGAATGAGAAAATGACTAAAACAATACTAAACAATATGGATGAATTTCAGAAGCATTACATTAAATGAAAATAGCCAGACACAAGAAGCTACCTTCAAATGGTTACACTTATAGAAAATTCTAGAAAAGGTAAAACTCTAGGGACAATAGAGTGTAACAGTGGTCACCAGGAACTATGGCAATGGAACTGTTCTGTATATGACTGTGGTATAGTTACACAATTATATACATTGTCAAAACATAATAAATTGTAGTTTAAACTGGCAGAGCTTATTATCTTTAAATTAAAACTTAATAGACATGTTTAAAAATAAACCAAACCTCTCAAAACCTAGGAATGCAAATGTACTAAAATATTTCCTTTTATTTAACAAAACTGCTATAGAAGATATTTTCATGTAGCTAAATAACCCCTATTCAAATATTTATTCAAGTACTTATACTGCAGAAAAATAAAAGTAAACACACTTGTTACAGTTTGTACCTTGGTGTCCCCCCTCCATTTGGTCATGGAGGCAGCAAAGTCTAGGGCTTGTGATTGGTTTGTTGACTAGTGCTGGGATAGGTGGTTTGAGTGCTGCACCTAACAAAGAGCAGGCAGCTGGCAATGTAAGGGAGGAAAGAAGGTGTGTTTTCTCCCTTTTGCTCTTTTTTGCTCTTGTCACTTGTGGTCACCATGAACAGTTACCCCTTAGCCATGTCACCCCACTTTGGAGCCAGCTGAGTATGGACTGAAACCTCCAAAAACTGTAAGCTAAATAACCCTTTCATTTCTTCATTTTGATGTCAGGCATTTTGTCTCAGCAATGAGAGAAAAGTAACCAGGGTAACATTGAATATATAAAGTAATTCACATGACAAATTCCTTAAAAGATACATTGTTTTCAATTCCACTATCAACATCTTCAACCTCTGTAATCTCAAACTGTCTTCTATATCTTATTTTTGTAGTTTTTGTATTTTAAGAAGCACTGAATTACAGAAATTAACAATTAAAAGAAACTAATGTTTTAAATTCTGAAAATACAAGTCAAAATTAATTTAGGATAACTTGTTATTTAACCAAAAAAATTCTAAAGAAGTGAACAGTGTCATTTCTGAATAATACATTACTTTAAAATATCCCAAGAAGGTAATAATTACAAGTGTTTGCAAACAGAAAAGAACTGAAATATTTACTCCAAATGCCTCCAGTTTTCCAGCTTGAATTTATGTATAGAACAGAGGCAGAGTACAAGTTTTTATACTGCTGCTTAACATTTTCATAACAAGCCATAATTCACATGTCCTGCAGTCAGGTGGCACCGAACCACCACCAGTGGTTCATACATAGCTGTCCCATCAGGTGGTATAAGCTGCCCAATGGGAGTCAAGCACATGCTGGTATAAGCCAGCAAGAACATATTAAATATGTAACATTAGATGTGCCACAAATTTCTTACTACCTCTACTTTTAGGTACTCTACCTTTCCTGAGGATGGAGGAGAAGGACTAGCACAAGGACTTGGGTAACTACTGCTATCTGTAGATTTTACAGAAGATTGATCTGATCGGTCATCTGTGCTTCGTTTAGGATGTAAAATTCCTCTATCTTTGTATTTCTGAGGTGGATGCAATGCCGCAGATGGAGATTTCATCAATACTCTTGAACAAGAAGAAGGAAATAAATATCAATTATCTGCAAGTTTAGACTACAAAGCAGATATTATTTCAGTCTAGAGTGTCAATAACATGATGTATGGCATACTATTTTTTTGGCATAGTATTTTTAAAGGGAACTTAATTTTCCAAGTATATTTAAAAATTAAGAACCAAGTATGGTGGCCTATGCCTATAATTCCAGCACCCTGGGAGACTGAAGCAAGACGAACACAGGTTGCAGTCCAGCCTGGACAACTTACTGACCCAATCAAAAAATAAAAAGTACAAGAATAAATAAATAAGGCTGTGGAGGGCCAGTGATATAGGTCAGAGGCACAGCACCTGCCTGACAAGTGTGAGGTCATGAGTTCAATCCCCAGTACCCCAAAAAAAAAAGGTTGTGGAGATAGTCTAATGCAAAGCTCCTAAAGTCAAGCTCAGTGCTAAAAAATATTTTTAAATAAAAAAAAATATTTTCTAGGGTGGTTGTACTTTATATTATATATTTTATGAAGATTTAGAAAAGAGACACTCAATGGCTCCAAATATAAGGAAATAAGTAGATGTCAATTTAATCATTATACCTTGTATAAACAAACATACTGAAACTTTATGCCATAAATACATGCCATTATATCAATTTAAAAGGAAAAAAAGCTTGATACATACATACATATATACATCTTCCTAATGGTTCTCATTCTATTACTAATCAAAGAACTCCACACTTAATTTATTAATATTATTAAAAGGCTAATAATGAATGTAATAATTCTTATCTTACTACTCAGGTAAGAGAATGAAGAGTAGCAGACTATGATTCCAAAAACTGCAAAAGACTGATAGTAACAGATTTTAAAAATACATTTTTAAAAAGCCAGGCATTGGCAGCTCACACCTGTAATCTCAGCACTTGGGACACTGAGGCAGGAGGCTCGCTGTAAGATACCAGCCTAGGCTACAAAGTGAGTTCAATGGCAGCTTGAACTGCATAGTGAAACCCTGTCTCAAAAAGATGAAACCCTGTCTCAAAAAGACAAAACATTTTTATAATAATCTGTTTCTAAGGTATAACTGATATGACAGCATATAAATATGTTTAACTTATATTTTCCCATTTTTCTATTCATGTATTTCTGTGTGTGTGTGTGTGTGTGTGTGTGTGTGTGTGTGTGATTCTCCTGTCTCAGTTTCCTCAGTGCTAGGATTACAGGTATATGCCACTACATCCAGTTTGCTTTTATCAAGAAAAAAAGATTTCTAAAAATATGCATTTATACAAACACACATATGTTATGGATCTAACAGATTTTTTTATATAAACACATAACAACGTTTATGGAAATAGCTCCCACATTCTAATAACCAAAACTTTAAAAAACATTAGAACAATAGTTTTAAAGAGTTAAAGAGTATATAAATAGAAAATGTACTTGGTAGTCTTTCTCTCAGTAGTGTCCAGGCCAGACAGTAACATTCAAGAACATACATTATAACCTTTCTTAAAAAACTAGCTGAGTTATTTCCTAAAGAACTGAGAAACCAGTATGTTTTTATTCTTCTTTTAAAATGAAATCAACTGACATACCTACCAAGGCTTTTGCTTCTATAGTATGCAAACTGATGAAAAGAAGGTGCTAAAAACCCTATCTCTTCTTCTAAGTATCACACTCCTACCTCAGCCTCCCAGATTGCTAGAATTATAGGCATGTGCCACAAAGTCAGGCTGAAATCATATTACTATTGAGATTTTTTACTGATATTGTCCAAACTAGTTTCAAGGATAAGAATATTAACCTTGGCATGAATTCCAATGTGGTTTAAATGGTTTTTAACTGATACAAAATAATTTAAAATGCTTTCATGACCAGAAATATTTTAAATTCACTGCCAATGACTCATTATAAACATACTATTAAAATACATTGTTTACATAAATATCTCATAGTAAGAATCTTAATCATATAATAAGAATTTGGCTAAATTGTAATAGGAATATTACCACATGACAGTAAATTAGGGCCTCCCTTGCAAAAATTTTAACTCTGTGCAAGAAAGGTCTTACACTCTTTTGTTCACTGTTCTACTTCTCACACTAAGAATGGACATTTAAAGTGCCAAGAACGAATGAAGTACTTTTCTGTAAGAATCTTAGTCAAAACCCCAAGCTTTGTCAGAACCCTGTTCTTCAAAGATAGCCATAGCCAGTTCTTCTCAGTGCACGTATCTAGGAAAAATGTCACTTGACATGTATGAAGTAAAGTATAACATTTTAAAATGTGCGATCTCACAGAAAATCTGCTATCTAAAAGATCTTAAATCTATAAGTCCTAAAAATGAAACATTTTCAGTTTACCTACAAAGAAGGGCCTTACTAATTCATAAATACATACTAGTATCTTAAAATCCTTCATATTGTCTTTTTTTTTTTTTTTTTTTTTTGTCTTTTTCCTTTTTTTTTTATTGGTACTGGGGATCGAACTCACGACTGCCTGCTTGCAAGGCAGGCGCTTATGCCGCTGAGCTAAATCCCCAGCCCCTTTCATATTGTCTTAACTTGTAAGAATTATATGTTACAAATAAGGAATAATTTTATGATAATTTTTATGTACCCCAGATTATGAAATTATTAAATATCATATATAATTCTCCTGAAGAAAATCTCTCCCATTTATAATTTACCTTTCTGCAGTAGCAGACTCATCAGAAAATTCACAATCTGCTGCACTTTTCCTACTATTATTTGCCTTCCAAGATGATGCCAATGGAAGTTCTTCTGAAGACATAGGCCGTGGCCTTTGGCCAATCCCAGATGGTTGCTGTAAACCTGCCGATTGTTCTTCAGTGCTTAAAACAGCTATAATTGCTCTTATGGTAGCTTCATCAACTTGAGACCAAGGTTTAGATGGAGCTCTCATTCGACGTAAAAATAAGCTGTGCCACTTCTGCCTGAGTTGCAGCAATAAACTGGCTGCCTGTTCAAACAGATAAAGCACAATGTAATTACATATGAGACATACTTATTTGTCAGTTAAGATGTACAACTATTTCCAAACATCACAGTTTACATTTAATATAATTTATTACAAATTTCTTTCATTTTTTTATGAATGAAATTTCTTTTTTATCATAGTCTAGATTCTAGAGACACAAAAAGAGAAGTCTAACAAGGCCAACAGTCAACATTGGTTGTGTAGAAAATATGACTAATATTCAAAGGGCAGCAGCAAGCTAAATAAAGAAAAATATGTTTAGCAGTTATATTCAAATTGTACTGTCTGCACAGCACCCAAATGATGATGTCCAGAACACATCTGGATTCACAGAAAGACCTAAGCCAAAGATATAAACGTGGGAGTGATGAGTGCATATATACTAAAGCTACAAATAGAGATAAGGTTCCCAGGAATTGTACCGCGAGTAAGAAGAGAGCAAGGCATAGAGAACAAGTGAATACAAATTTAAAGCACAAACACACACGTAAGAATTAGAGAAACAACCTAAGAAGGAATGAATATATGAAAATTAAAAAGCGTAAATATAAATATCACAGTAACTAACGACAAAGAAGAAGAGGCAGGAATGAAGAGAAAAAAGTGGGGAAGAGCAGAATTACTAAAAGGAGGTAAGTATCAGAGAGAATCAAACATTAGGGGCAATCAAGGACAGAGTTGCCTTGACAACATGGAGTAGAGAACACAGGCAACCTTACCCAGGACAATTTCAGTGAAATAAAGGGCTGAGAATGGAAAAGACTGCAACAGGCTATAATAATGAGACAAATGGATGATTAACAAAAAAGTAAACCTATCCAGTGCTGACTACTGACAGTTTAGTTCTCACCTACCCATGGCTATAGAATGATTTTGTGAAGCACATGGAAATTTTAATTTGAAAAAAAAGTCTTTATCCTTCCCAATTCAGAAATGTATGAAAAGAGAAAACAAAATGAATTTGTCTTTCTCTCAAAAACAGAATTACACACATTAAAGAGTTCTCATGTACCTGATATTCAGTATTTTTGGGTACTTATTTTATATATGCAGAAATACTCATATGTTACTGCTATCATTGCAGGGTTCGTTTACTCTCAAAATTCATGTTGAACTTAATGCCCATGGAACAATATTTGGAGGTATAACACTGGGGAGATGACTGGGATTACATTCCTTATAAAGGGCTCCTGGGCAGGAATTCATGCCTCATACTTCTGACTTGTAAGGATGCAGAGTTCATCCTCTGTAAAGAATAGAAGGCTCAAGATGCCACCTTGAAAGCAGAATGACCTCACTCGCAGCTGGACCTGGACTTCCCAGCCTCTAGAACTGTGAAAGCTCTGTAACCGAGTCTGTGGCATTCTGCTACAATGTGAACTAAAACAATAATCATGCATTAAATACTGAGCCACACCTCCGTTTTTCAAGTCCTCTGCTGGAAAAAAGAAACCAACACAACAGAACATGCGTGAGGATCTTATGAAAACTGAGAAAAGCTGTATTCTCCAATATTAAAGACTCTGAATTAAAGATAACAATTCTATTATGCTGCATATCAATCCATACTGAATTTTAAAAAAGCTTACCAGTGTTTTCGTTCCTGCCCTGGCTACCTCCAAGTCCTTAACTGATTCCAAATGTTCACCTGTCATGATCGTTTTGACTTTGAGGAAGAGCCAGAAGTTGCTTCTTACCAGATCCACTGTAATGTTTTTATGAGGCTGCCTTTCCATTGGATAGCACTAGGCAACATCATTTACTATATTTCCGATCATACTGCATAAAGATATTCACAAAAGAGAACTTCTACAACTGCTTTGAGAAGTGGCAAATATGATAGGATAAGTATATTCAAAGAGGATTAATGGCAATATGTATTTTACTGTAATGTATTTTTATCTTTTTTTGATTACCCCTTCTATTTCCTATTAAAAAGAAACTTACCTCTGGCTCTAGCTTAAAATTGAGCCACTCGTCAAGCTTCAAAGCTGCCAAATTAGCAGTAGTTCTGTCCTCCATTTCACTGTCACTACTGTCATTGGGAATGCCATCCGCTGTCCCAAAACATATTGAAAGAATGTTACTTGTACTATCTTACACCATAGCAAAACAGTAAGCAGAAAAGACACTCTTTGGACACATAAACCCTTCTGACATACTACAATTTGTGTGAGTTCCACAAATAAAGTAGACAATTATCAATATTTAAAAGAAGAAAATTAATACATTTTAAAGACTACGATCTCTAATCACAATGCAACCAAACAAGAACAAGAATTAAAAACAAATACAACAGAATGAAAAAGAAGAGAAAATACAGAGAGTGCTCAAAACAACACTTAACATAAAGGTTTTAACTTGAAACACTACACTTTAGAAAAATATCTTAAAACTCAATTGAATACCAGAAGAGGAAAACAGAAACTGATGAATTAGAGATAAAACAGTAATACCAGTTAATCTAGTTCTTTGAAAAGATTTAAGGGATAAGCCTCTGTAAATTTAACAAAAGAAGCAAGCATAAATCTACCACCAAAATTAAGTGAGATAAAATTATAAAAGATGTCCTTAACAAAACCAATAAATTCAGAACACCTAATCTCTGAAACTTTCTAGGAACCAAATGACAACTTTATTTAATAAGGCAAATCTGAACCTTACCCTGAAACATTTTAACACCTAAAACATAGGTATCTCAATACATACAAGCACATACTGCAAAATCCTACACTTCACCTTCAACAATAAACAATACAGTTGTAAATAACATGCTAGAAAAATATTCAATAGTAATATAAATCCTATTAAAACTATTCAAACAAAAATTATTGTTAAAAACTCCACTACTACTATTAAAACTATTCAAACAAAAGTTAACATTATATCAATGGCACAACTTTAGAATTTAAACCTTTGTAATCCCACAAGACAAAGTGGACTACTTAATAAGTTTCTCAAAATATGGAAATATATTGAAAAAAAAAAGAAGAAAAAAAAGGCTAGTAGCAAATACTTCATTAATTTCACAAACAGAAAAATCTAATGGATATGTAAGGGTTTAATGAAGTAATTGAATTTTTGTAAAAATATGTCAATGATAGTCATCATCTTCCTATTAAGTACAATCACCAGCATATATATTCATCAAAACAGTAAAAACAAAATATCTTTTAAAATGTCCATTTTTTTGTAAGTGTTACCAGAAACAAACATATGGCTAAACTAAAGACAAGATATGAATAAGTAAAATACACTAAAGCACTTGGAAGCAAACACTAAAATTCCAAAAGTACTGTTGTTTTCCGAAAGGAACACAAGAAAATGATAACTGAAAGTTTATTATTAATAAAGGTACAAAAATCAAAATATGGAAGACTAAAGTAAATGAGATTGTATTAAATATGATAGAAAAAAAGCTAATGTCCTTAAAATCTTAAAATTACCATGCAAAAATCAATAGCATCCAATTAAGCAAATGGGGAAAAGATGAAATAAGCAACTCCACTAAAGGAAAATAAGCTAATGAATGGAGAATTCATTCTTTTTTTGACAATAGAGTTAAAAATGCAAATGAAAGAAATCTTGACTTATTTTTAAATAGATTTCATTTTTAAAAGATCCAATAATAGTATAATTAACAAGAAAAGTCATTCTTATTGGCTCTAATATTGTTTACAAAGGAAAAATAAATACTCACATAACTTTATCAAGTATGAAATTTTAACCCAAGGAAAATAATAAATGAAAAAATGCACAGATGAAGATGTCAGTGTATTAGGACCTCTACCTTGTCTACATGCTCATTACTTATCTACCATGCTATTTCTATTTTCTCCATAAAAACTCCTGCCATCACTCCACTAAAAGTGCCGTTGTCTTTGAGGTCATCAGTGACTACCATATTGTCAAATACAAGTTACAATTTTCAGTTCACATCTTTTTTTGACTTCTCAAAGTAATAGTTAACAGACCTGATGCTCCTTTCTTGATATATATTTGCCTCCAACACCACTCTTTCTTCCTTTATTCTATACATTCTCTTTAGGAAATCCATTCTCATGGCTTTAAATATCATTTACAACCTGCCTAATGACTTCCAAACTTTTATTGTGCAGGTCTCTTCCCTGTTATGCATATCAAACTGCTTTGTTAAAAAAAAAAAAAAAAAGGATGTCTTGACCATATCAAACTTAACCTAACAAAACAGAATTCTTGGCTTTTCCCTTACAAAACTTGCTTCTCCCATTTTTCTGTCTCTCAAATAAGCGGCAAAAATATTCAGCAAGCTAGTCAAATCCAAAACCTGAAGAGTCATCATAATTGACTCCTCCTTTTCCCTTACTAGTCATATTCAACCCAGCAGTTCCTAGCACCTCCAAATAATTGTGAGTCTAGTTATCTTATATTAGGTGCCACTACCCTTGTTCTAAGCTATCATCCATCTTATGATCACTTCAAAAAACCTACTACCTGTGTCTACTCTTCCATTCTTGTCCTCTAAACAACCCCTACCTTCAGAAAAAAATTATCTTTTCCAATAAAAATCATATGTCACTCACCTCCTTACTAAAAATCTTTTAACAGCTTCCCTTGAACTGGCTATGGCCTCCAAATTCACTAGTTCTGTTCCACTGTCTCTCACTGCTCTCTGCCAGTGATGAATGTACACCAGTCACACAGCATTTCTGTCAGTCTGCAGATCACTTTCTAGTGTAGGGTCCTACAGCTTTCCACCTCCTCTATATGTAGGGTATTTTTGCTTTTTCACAAGAGCAGCTAGCTGCTTCTCCTACTTCAGTTCTCAGTTTAAGTCTCATCTCCTCATAGTAACTTATTTAGGCTTTCTAAAGTAGGTACCCCTAAAGCAATCCTCTTTTTATTTCCCTGATAACATCATGAGGATTAGCTATTTATACTGCCTACTGCCAAGAGTGTGTCAAGTGCCAGACACAGAAGCATGCTGTTTCTATTACACTTTCAGTGCTTACCACAGTATCTGACAAATATTTATTGAGTAGCCAAAAATTCAAAGCCATATGTCCAAGTATAAAAAAAAAAAATGCATTACACCACTTTGAAATGACAACGCTGTACAGCAACTAAAACACTAAAAATGTTTTAAATAATCTAATATAATAAAGAGTAGAATATAAGAGTATGAGGGAAACTATGTAAACAAGTAGAAAAATACAGTATTAAAAAAGTGCAGGCTGGGGATTTAGCTCAGCGGCATAAGCACCTGCCTTGCAAGCAGGCAGTCGTGAGTTCGATCCCTGGTACCGATAAAAACGAAAAAGACAAAAAAAAAAAAAAAAAAAAAAGTGCATTACTAGTGACTATTACTCTTTTTAAAAATTACCTTTCTGTCAAATTATCATTTGAATTCAAACTTCTTCCATCAAGATTAGAAATGTACAAATTGATGCTACTTTACCTTAGAAATTAATTTCAAGAAAAGTGTTAAAACTTAGTATTTCCTAATCATCTTACTATATCAAAAGTAAATTATGATAAAAACTTCACAATTATTATTTTGGTTTACAACATCTTTTATTTCACTTATAATACATTTACCTCTAAAGGATGAAGGTTCCTGAAGAGCATTACTTGCCAACCTCGCTGGCCCACAGAACACCAAAACAGTAACAGGTGTGACTGCTGAACAACATCTAATATTAGCTATTCTATAGGCTCTGGTCATCTCATCATAAATAAGCCAATCAGTGGGCAATGCCTGAATTGCTGCAGCTTGACCATTGGCTGGAGGAATCTGTTAGGAAAATAAATTGAAAAATTGTAAACTTTATTTATCATGGAACTTTTTAGGAATACATTTAAAATGCAAAAAAGACCTTGATTAAATAGTTTAGCAAAAAAACTAAAGTCACTGTTCACATAATTTGTGTAAAAGTCTTTATTAGCCCTCCAAAGTTATCTCTTCTATCGTAAGATTCAACAAAATGTTCCAATATGTAATTATATATATAATTTCTTAAAGCAGGTAGATATTCAGAATGTTTTTCATTGATCATCAACTATCTAAATTAGTTTTATCTCAAGGTCTAATAACATCAAAACTGATTTACCGGGCTGGGGATTTAGCTCAGCGGCATAAGCACCTGCCTTGCAAGCAGGCAGTCATGAGTTCGATCCCTGGTACCGATAAAAAGGAAAAAGACAAAAAAAAAAAAAAGAAGGAAAGAAAAGAAAACTGATTTACCTTTTTATACTGAGGCTGACTGAGAACTGAAGTAGGATGAAATCGTACTTTTTTCTCCTTTGGCCCCGTCAATACTACATTCTCTCTGTCCACATGGACCAAATTAGGATACATGCCTGCCACCAATGCAGCTTTTACAACAGCCCAGTTCTCAGAATTTGTGTTAACATCTCGAATGTCACCACCTCCTCTAGCTCTTACAAAACCTAGAGAATGTAAGGGGGAGAAAAAGAAAAAAGGGAGAAAGAGGGGATGGGGAAGATCAAAGTATATTATATGCATGTATAAATATGACAATAAAAAACTCGAATCTGTAGAAAAATATGCACACATGGAAAAACCGGAGACGTAAAAATTTTTCTACCATTCAAAAGATATTTTAAAATTTGTGTATTTAAAAAAATGTATGCTCCATGTAAGTTTAATTCTTTTCAGATTCTACAATTAACAAAATCTGTTCTGGAAAGTCTAAACTACAAAACCAATATAAGAAAAGTTTTAGATCTGCCCAGGATAGATTAGTAAAGAATTTATGGGGGCTTAGAAATTTTTAAAAATGCACATTCTTAAAAGTCACCTGCTAGCAGAAACATGCTAAGGTCACAACTGGAAATCCAATCATTCTTCTAAGAATATTAATAATGCTATGGTTATGACGGTCTAAAGGTGAAGTCAAGTAAATATAGTATATTGTATCCTGCTTGAATTTCAAAACCCATTCTTATTTTTCAATATATGAGACAACTGTAAGTACACTGACTTTTCCCTTCTATCATTCTGGCACTTTCGCTAATCTATGAATTCAGGTTCTGGTACTTTCGATAATCACAGTTATCACTTCAATGTATTACAATACTCCAAAAATAGAGGAATGGAAGAAGGTGGTGGGGCACAAGAATAGAGAAAGGGGAGAAAATGTACAAAGTGGGATAGGAAAAGAATCAAAAGAAAAAAAATGTTCAAAGAATTTTAAAAGGAAAAGACAACACTAAATCCCTTTTTTAAAAAAACTACCTTCAGGTGATTACCAGTGTTTTAATGTTTCAAAAATAGAAAAAACAGCATTTAAACAATCTATTTACATTTTTGTAATTTCAAGAGCTAAAATAATTGTTTGTTGAAGGTGATAAAACATAACTCCAAGATCTAAATTGCTCTGCAAACAAATACAAATTTTTCATTGCCAATACTATCAAAAGGATCAGCTTCTGCTCATATAATTCTCAACTGTGATTTCTGCAGTATGTTTTCTTTCAATAAGCAAAAGTTAGTACCATTTAGAAGTCTACACATCAGTTCAGGAATATAAGATACAAACATGGTAATATAAAAATAATAGCTGACACCATTTGTATTAAAAAATATAATGGATACAGAGTTTAAATACCTTCTTTAGAGGAAGACTTTACCTGATGCTCTAAGTTGACCAAGCAACTGTGTTCTCATGCCTATAATTATTTCCATGGTCGCTTGTGAAAGAAAATTCTTTTCACAAAAGGCTCGCTCCCACCCATCACTTCTTGCTTTCTGCCATGCCTATAAAACCAGAATAATTACAAGCAAGACACATTTACCAATAACTTCTTGGTGAGGCAACAGAGTAAGAATCAGTATCTTAATCTAAGTTAATTCTTATTTTAATTATCCTATAAAACATAACATTATGAGCAAACAAAATGTATCATTACTTAACTTATACTCTAGTTGTTATGACAGCCAATGAGTTTCTAAAATGCTAATTAGAACTAAGTATCAAGTGACTTAAATAACCAATACTATAAGAAGTTTTACCTTCGTAGATGCACCTGTTAATATTATCCCCAAAACTGAAAGTTTTCAAGTAAACCACTAACACTTTTGAATCTAAGAGTCTTTGCCACCTTGTAGTTCTCCACAAATAATCTGTTCATCAACCCCTTAAAACTGAGAATGAAATAATCTACATATAGTATTAAAAAGCTATTCATTGAAATGAGTTCTTTTCCTTTAGAATACAACTGAAAGACCAAAGCAATAATTTATCCCATCTGCTTTTGTAAGAGTAGGAAAAAAACAAAAATTATAAATTTTACTCCAAATTTTCTTCTGTCATTCAACTGATCTACATACGGCACATAATATATTCAACTAACAACAGTCATCCATACAATTATTTTTTAAATTTATGTATGTGTTTGAAAAATTCTATATTCCTGAAATACAGGATTTATACTTTTGGCATAAAAGACACAAAAGTTTTAAAAAATATTCATAGCCACAGCCTACATTCAAGAGAATTTAAGGATAACAAAGATGTTTATCTTTTTAAGAAATAACATTCTTCTCCATATAACCGAATTTCTAAATTATATTTCATTTCTCTTTCTTAGTCTCATTATGTTTGCTTTCCTCAATTTCTATTATCTTAAAAGTTTTAAATGATTTTTGGATTTTTGTTTTATAAAATTATGTTTTTGACACAGTCTTTGCACACAAAGAAAAGATGAACTTTTAAAAAAAATGGATATTAAATGTAATGTCATTTTCTTCCAAGCTATATAAACACATACGTGTGTATATAAACACACACACACACACACACACACGCACACACGCACGCATGCACACACACATTCCTGTATGAAGAAAATGGAAAAAACAAAGTAGAGGAAAACTGAAAATTTTAACATTATCAACAGCATGAAGATAAAACATTAATAAAATGTAACTTCACAAATAAAACAAAATTAATGGAATTTGTATTATTGCTTACTAGTGTTTTAAACTGTTACACTTGCCCCAGAAACTTGTTTAATACAACACCTTGAGAAACCAATGATAGCAATGGTACCTGGAAAGCTCTGAGAAGTGCCATGTGGTCACTAAAGGTTCCTGCAGTGAAACGTTTCCTACAAAGCATAGCAGCGCGTTTTTGAGAGGGCTGAGTAGGCAGCACAAAAGGGTCTCGGTAAGCTAGTGTGCAGGCAATCGTAAGGATAGGATCCAGACACTTTAAAACCACTGCACACAGCACCATTTTACCAAGATGTGGTTCTACTGGCAAGTCAGCCAAATGATATCCAAGCTCAGTGAGATCTTCCCATGTATCCATTGCATCGATTGTCTAAATCAAAGAACAGAGAACAGAAGTCAACATGAACAAAAATTATGCTTAATTTTAAAAGCCCAGAAGAAATACTATAAATTATGGGTCTGGTATGGTGGTATATGCCTGTAAGCCCAGCACTTGGGAGGCTGAGGCTGGAGAACAGTAAGAGTTTAAGGCCAGCCTGGGTTACATAGTAAGTTTGAGGCCAGCCTGACCTGCAAAGGGAGATCCCATCTCAAACAAGCAATCAAACAAAAATTTACTTTCATTACTATACCTCATAAAAATACTTGTTTTAAATATATATGTGTGTATACACACACACACACACACACACACACACACACACACACAGGTTTACCTATATTTACAAGAGTACTTTTCAAAGTATATGATCATACAGTTTTTGAACAATGTAAAAGTAGTTAAAACATGTTTGGTTTAAATTTCAAGTAAAAAAAGTCAAGTAAAATAAATGTTAAGACACCAACCTTAAGCATCTGTACAGCATTTCTTACAATTAAAGCTGGTGGAGGTTCAGGAGCTTTCATAAGGAAATCAGCAATGGTACAATTAATTGGTGCTAACAGTTTGGTATGTAAACAAAGTTCCTATAAATCAAAATGGTAATAATTTTTGAAAAATTGAAAAGAACACTGATTTATTTTTAAAGAAATCATGGATATTATAGATACCACAGTCTTGTAAAGTCTCAAATTAAAATGAACAGTAGAGAAAACAATGTCTTTCTATTAAACATAAGCTTGTACTTATCTGATACCAGAACCTTAATAAATATCCTCAGTCAACTCAGTGAAATTACTAATGTCTTCTCTGGCAACATCTCACAGAATTCTTACTTACAGTTAACACTCAATCACTTTTCTCCTATACACTGATTATATTTTGGAATATAACAAATTTATCTATTCAATAGATATTTAGACACTTTCTGGGTGCAAAGCACTATGCAGCAAGTTGGGGAAAAGCAAAGAACAAACAAGGGTCTGCTCTCATGGAATTTACAATGTAGTGTGGAAAAGGCCTTCTAGCTAAATATTTAATTACCTAGTTACAATTCTGCTAAGTGTTAGGGAAGATACAGAAGTCAAAGAGGTAAAAAATTTCAAAAAAAAGCAGAAGAGGGAGGCCATGGGAAACCAAAGGGAGTTTACCAGTGGAAATGACACAATATATGATGACTGAGTAGGAATGTATCATAGAAAAAAAAATCAAGAGGAAATTAGGGAGGAGGACAACACATGTTAAGACCCTTAAGGTACAAGGAAATAAGATGTACTTGAGAAACTAAAATTACTAATCTTTGTAGAGGAAAGGCAAGCAATAAAATTAGAAACACAGAAAAGGTAATTCAGACACTTGCCAAGAATTTTAGGATTTATTCCAGTATGAGAAAGGTAGCGTTTTCTGTCAACAGTGATATTTAAAATAATTCCATTCTATACAAATCTCATTTTTCTGTAAAATTCTATTCTTATAAAATGTACATATGCTTGTTTCATCATTCCTCAGAGAGACAACTTAGGACAAGGGGTCATGTGCCAGGTCACTTGCCATAAATTATGTATTCCTGAGTCACAGGATTTGTTCTGCCTAACAACCATGATCTCATCAAACTAGGCAACAGAGTTACATTTAAGGCCACGCTCCCACCAACAGAGATGCACAGTGACTGGATCAGGCTTTAGGATAAACTGCAGGAGAACACCTTTCTCTGATAGCACACCCTTTTGCAGAAATAAGGTTTGCCTTGCTGAAAGTTTTGTCACAGTCTGGGTTCTTTTATACTGTTTACAACACCAGAAAATGTGGGTCCAAGACCAGGAGAAAGACATAGGCATCTGCAGGTGGGAAATCACTTGAGGTATATGGATGTCAAAAACATGATTCTGCATCTCTTTAACAGTTTAGAAGCCAGCATTTAAACTAATACACCAAATAATCAAATTAACACACTTGTAGTAGTTTTCCCTAGAAATTAGTCTTATATGATTGTTTCATGATATCATAAAACCTATAGAAAAACAGTAAATGTCAAGAAATCTTACTGAATCCAGTCCAAAGTTACCAAGATAATTACAGCATCTCTCACTAAACTTTCAATATTATCTTTTAGACCTTAAATAATTAACTGAGAATTTTTAGAATGAATGTTATGCAACTGAAACTCTTAAAATAGTACATTAAAAAATACCCTTGTAAAGTGGCCTATAATTTCAGTCAATTCTTTAAAATTTTGAAGTCTTATGATTTTTTTACACAGAAAGAAAAAATTTTGTTTTACAGTATCCACCATCCATAATACGTAAGTGTTTGATAAGTGGTTTTATAAGTCTAAGTAGTACAAGTTAAAATTGCCCCTTAGTCTTCTTACCCACCATAAAGTATTTTAGCATTAAATTTCTACCTGTAATGGCATTCTCAGAAGTTCTGGAGTCTGAAATTCCAACATATTTTGAAATCGGAGTCTACTAAACAGACGAAAACAAATTCCAGGTCTACATCGCCCCGCTCTTAAAAACAAAATACAAAGTTAATACTCAAAAAATTTAAATTCAATCAGTTTTATCAAGCATTGTGTTCAAGGTAGTATCAATCACTGATTAGAGTTCCATAAGTCATGCATTACACATCTTCATGACATAAACATTTATCTCATTATCATAGAGAATTATGCAACTTTCCATGAAACAACAGAGAAGTATCATGAAGAGAAGCAGTCTCTTTTAAGCAGATCCATTCACTAGGTCAGCCAATGGCAGGACTAAATATGTGAAATCACAGAGAAACAAAAATACTCCCTTCTCAAATACTCCCAACGATATACCTTTCAGGTTTCCTGAATACTCGGCTTTTGCTAACATCTTTTCCCAGACCTTTAAAAGTGATGTTTCTCACAGGATAGACCTCGTTCTCTACTCTTTTACTAGCATTTCTCCTGAGGTGAATAATAAGGAAATCAGCCCTTTCTCTTGTATTATATTTATAGAATTTTTTTTATTTAGTTTCTTACATCTTAGTGTGCATATGTCTTAAATTTTAATATAATTTAACTTTTAAAAAAGCATTACAATGGTTACTTTACAAAGATTTAACATTAACATGAAAACTAACATGTTATAGAACATGAAACATGATAAATATGTAAATATATGAGAATGTTTCCATCTTACATATAATTGAATCAATGTACATTAAACATACATTACCTGCCTTTTCGTTGTATTGCACTAGCTTTTGAAATCCATACCATTTTTAACATTGTAACAAAATTCAATGCATCAAATGATTTCTGTAATATTTAAATAATTTTTATGTTAAAACACAGTAGGTCCTTACAGAGAAAAAAAGCTGGAAAAATTATCAACATATTTTAACAAGTTCAAAGACCCATCTTGATTAAATAACGGGAAAAAAGTACTGACTGAAAAATCCAGATACTGTAGTTCAAAACACTAAGTAAAAAAAAAAAAAAAAAAAAAGAAAACAAATTAGACTCAGAGGACCCATAAAATTTCCCCCTTCTGTGCTTTGCTGAACTATCTGCTATTCATAGCAGTCAGTTCTCAATCAAAAATGGGAAAACTGATCTGCTCTCTGGAGGTCATTTTCTATCATATTTTCGTTGTTATAAAGACTGAATGATCAGTGAAAGACATTTTCTGAAACACTTTCTAAGAGGCCGATCCAGAAGAGTAACAGCCACTAAACTAATCTTACTCCATAGCCAAGAATTTTAACTCTTATTTTACTTCCTGCTGAGTGAGCTACTTAAAAAGTTAGCCTATTTTGCATATTGCAAAGGAAACTATACAAGAAAAAATTACTAACTTCATATTGCCTCAAAGAATTAAAGTGAACATCTGCAGAGAAATATTTCAAAAGAATACATCCCTAACTAGAATACATACCTCAGATATTCAGAGATATGTTTTCCATTGTGTAAAGTCACTACATAGGCCAGGTGTGTGGCACATACCTGAATCCCAGTGCTCTTGGAAGATAAGGCAGAAGAATTGCAAAGTCAAGCCCAGTCTGGGCAACTTAGTAACTTAGTCAAAATAAAAAATAAAAGCCAGGCATTTGGTAATGCACATCTGCAATCCCAGCACTTGGAAGGCTGAGGCAGGAAGATTGCCCTAAGTTCAAAGCCAGCCTGAACTACACAATAAGACTCTGTCTCAAAAAAACCACAATAATAATTTAAATATAAAAGAGGTTGGTGATACACCTCAGCAGCACAGTGCCTGCCTGACAAGCACAAGGTCCTAAGTTCAATTCTCGGTACCAAAAAAAGTAAGAATAAAAATAAAATAAAATATAAAAGGATGTAGATGTAGCTCCACGAGCAGGCCCTAGGCTCAATCCCCAATATTACAAAGTTAATTAACTAAAATAACTACATAAAGCAAATAAAAATAGGTTCTCATAATACTTTAGAGAATTTTTAGAAGACACTCAATTTTTAATAAAAATGTCAGTCATGTATATAAAAATAACTTGACAGTACCTATATGTCTGAACTATGATTACTTTAGAAACAAATATACAATTTACAAATTAATTAGAAGAATTTCTAAAATACTCAAAACCTACTTCCATCCATATTTCATATTTCTAGAGCAATTCAGTTTTACTGAAAATATTCATTACTGTCCTATTACAAAAACTAAATTTTATCCTCTTTGCAATATCCAACTATAATAAAACTGACCAAATCCTTTAGTAAAATGTTATTCTCCACAAGAGATCCCTAAAAACATTAATTTTTTCACATTAAAAATGATCATTTAGGGCTGGGGATTTAGCTCAGCAGGCTCAAGGGCTTGCCTGGGAAGCCTGAGATTGTGAGTTTGATCCCTGGTACCAAAAAAAAAAAAAAAAAAAAAAAAAAAAAAAAATCACTTGTATCCACCAAAGAAACATAACCTGCTTTCTATAACATGAACAATATTGCTTTTCTTGCCATTGATTATTCGGTCACTTTCACTCTGTCAATGAATAGCTCTACCAAAAGCACTGAGAACTGCTAGGCATTTCTATACTGAAAAGAAACAAATACTCCCTTTTGTTTATATCAGGTGTTCGAAAACTATTTTTGCAAAAAGCCAAGTAGTAAATATTTTAGGCTATGATAAGGTTTGTTTTGCAATTATTTAGATGCCAATATAGTGTAAAAGCATCTGCACACAGTAGGTAAAAGAGTGATGAACCTGTTTTTACAAAAGCAGGTTGCAAGTCTAGATTGAATGTTGGTTATGTTTGTTGATCCTGCTTTATGGCATAGGGTTTGGTTGGTTGACTGACTGGTTGGTTGGAGTTTCCTTGCTCCTTTCATCAAGGTTCTCTTAAACACTTACTATTAAGAACTGAAGATTTAACAATAAACACAAGGGACATGTATACAACGATAAGTAGGAGAAACATACTGAAAATATCCAATTGAATTCATGCTGTGATGAAATTTTCACTATAAGTAAACAAATCCTTTCTTGTAATGAAAGAAGTTAAATTTTTTTCTAATTTGCTGAAATAGATTCTATATACTGAATTTAAGGTAGGATATTTGAGTGAAATCAGTATTTAGTAAGCTAAATTCATTTAGAAATAAATTTTTCCACTAAAGTGAATTCTGTTTAGAGAAAGCACCTGCTGCAACAGAATTCAACCTGTTCCTTTTAAGTAAAAGTAAAATTTATCTATACTTACCTCTTTCACTTTTCCAGAATCAATAACAAAGACAACATCATTGACTGTTATGCTGGTTTCAGCAATATTTGTGGAAAGAATCTGCAATAGGACATTATTTTATAAGTGATATGAAAGAAGAACAATGACTAATAATGATGGGGAAAAAAGATTTTACGAAGCTTACTATTTTACGAACACCTGCAGGTGGAGTTTTTAATACTTTCTTTTGATCAGACGTTTGCATATTTGAATGAAGCATAAAGACCTGATATCTGTTGACAATTGAAAGAAAAATATACTATAGTACCTGTCTGTTACTTTAAGCAACAAATACAAAACTTTAGATTTTACCTATGGGCATTGTCAGCAAACCGCTTGTCATCAAATAGGATGCGATCTCTCAGACCAACAATTTCATCATATCCAGGTAGAAAAATTAATACTGCACCTTGGAGAACAGTAATTTTTAATATTACATCTTATGAAACCAGAAACAATCAAAAGAACCAATTATAAGGAAATATACCATGAGTTTTCAAGTACTGGTAAATCACTATGCTATTCATAAATTACTATCAATGCAATTATATAAAAATGTGACACTCAAAATATTAATTTTAAAAGCAAAGTATACATTTCATTGTTCTTTTAGATGGCATTTATTTACCAGTATCGCAGCTATGGCAGATATTATATAGAAGATGCATGATCAAATCCAAGTCTACTTTTTCATCATCAAAACTGTGATGATAGGCTTTCAGGAGCTCTCTATCTTCTACACTGAGGTCATTTCCATTTGTTTGAACTAGAGAACTTTCATCTAGATTTCCAAATTCCAATGAAGCACTTTAAAAAAAACAAAAGACCAAATCAGTTTTCATGAAAAAGAGTAACTCTTAAAGATCAATAATTCCCATTATGCCCTTTTTCAAATTTCCTGTAAGTCCTAAGGAGGGTAAGTGACAATGTACTAGCTGCAATATAACTCATGTTTTAGTTTTAAGCACCTTCCTCAACATAAAATTTGGTTATAAGTGCTTTCAAAAAATCACAAACTTAGCACAAAAGATATTTATCAACAGGAAGTACACAAACAGTTTGTAAGCATAGGGAGAGATGTTCAACTTCATTCATCATCAGAAAACCACAAACGTAAACCACAGTGAGAACCTCACTCAGTAAGATGGACACACTCAAAAAGATAGGTGACAAGTGTTGGAGAAGGTATGGGTAGATTAGAAGCCTCCCACATTCCTTGTAGGAAGTGTAGGAATGTAGAACAGTGTGGTCACTTTGGGAAAAACTGTGGCAGTTCTTCAAAAGCTAAACACAGAGTTGCTATATGCCTCAGCAAACTTGCTCCAAGGTCTGCACACAATGAAACTAAAAAAAATACACCAACATATATCTGTCAATTAAGAAAAAAACTATATACAATGTTCACACCAGTTGTTTATAATAGTTCAAAGGTGTAAACAATACAAATGTTCAATGACAAATGGATAAACTGTCCTATATCCATGGAATAATTATCCAGTCATAAGAAAATCTACAACATGAATAAACCTTAAAAAAATTAGGCTACATGAAAGAAGCCAATTACAAAGTACCACATATTATGTGATTACATTTATACGGAATGTATAGAATAGACAAATTTCTAGGGCTGGGAGGCTTAAGAGATAAAAGGATGGGACTGCTAGTGGGTACAAGGTTCCTTCCGTGGTGATGAAAATGTCCTAAAGACTGTGGTAAAGAGTACATAAGCCTATGAACATACAAAAAAAAAAAAAAAAAATCAACAAATTGTACACCTAAATGAGTGACTTATAATGGAATAAGAATTACCTCAAAAAAACCATTAAAAATGTTTGGTTAACATATATTTCCATATATAAAAATTTTTTTTGAACGCAGCGTCTCACTACATACTTCTGGCTGTCCTTGAAGTATGTAGCTCAGGCTGACCTCAAATTCAAGGCAACCCTCCTGCCTCAGCCTCCCAAGTGCAGGGGTTATATGCATGTGCCACTGCACCAGGCTTCATTTATATTTCTTAATAAGTTGTTTCTAATTGTTCACTATTACAAATGATATTTTGCTAAATAGTCCACATTAAAAAAAAAGCCTCCACAGATAATTCTACAGTAAAAACAAGTTAATTGTGCTATTTTCCAAAAGCCTAGAATAAACATGAACTACTACTTTTTTTCATCCTGTTATAAACATATAAACTACAGTCATCACTAGTAATTATCAATAGGATTTCCAGGAGTTCAGTTCAGCCCAAACTCTCTCAAAAAGCTTAGCAGAAAAATAACAAGACTGTTTTCAACAGGTAAAATACTAAGATTGTGTCTTTGTAATTGCAGTATTTTTAACATCAAGATCTGCTGTAAAATATCCTGTTTATTGTTTCTTATTTTTTAACATGTAGGTGAAGAAATATGTTCTCTGATTAATACTATAAAACTGAGTTATCACTATCAATAAAATCCAGAAAACAAGATAAATTTAATTTTAAATATTTGAAATTGCTTGACATGGTGATGCTGTTAATTCTAGCACTCTGGGAGGCTGAGGCAGGAAGAACACAAATTCAATTCCAGCCTTAGCCACTCAAGCAATTTAGCAAGACCCTGTCTGAGAACAAAATAAAGGGCTGCAAAATAAAGGGCTCAGTGCAATCCCAAATTTAAATTTAAAATGTTATCACTAAAAGAATGAAAATTCTCGGTAGTATTATTAAAATAACAATAAAAACAACTATAAGAATTAACATTTGGATATAAGAATTTTGGGACTCTGTAACCTAAAGTATCAATGAAATGAAAATGACACAAATAACTTCATCGTTAAACATTTATTTCTTACAATGTCTGACATTACATCTACAGAAGTACAAAAATTCAATTCAAATAAAACATTTTATATGTTCTTGAAGAATAGATCATTTACTATATTTAACTTCACGGTCCACTTTTTGTGGGGGACTTTCATAGGTTTCATAGGACAAAGAGAAGCTATCAGTGAATTATAAAATACGTTAAAGCCTCTTTTACATATTTTTAAAAACCTATATAACTAATCTAAATATCTAATCTAAATTTAATCTAAAATCTCCAGTAAAAGGTATTTAGGGTCAAAGAATGCAGCTTAGTGTTAGAAGGCTTGCCAGGCATACACAAACAAGGTCCGGGCCTCCGTGTTCAACCCTTAGCACCACTTTAAAAACAAAGATAATTAGGTAAGTTTCATAAGATACATAAAATATCTACATTGCCCTTCTGATTTTCTCCTTTTCAAAATGAGACAAAAAAAAAAATGGAAGTAGAGCTTTTTCAAGTGGAAAAGAGATCAAAAGTTGGATACAGGAGAGAAGGATAAGAGGGGAAGGGAATTCAAAGGATGTGCTATTATGTATATGTATAAACTCCCCACTATAAATGTGCTGCAAACATATAGTAATTTTAAAAAGTAAAAAGTAAAGTAACAATATATATGTATAGCATCAATAAAGAATTTTACGAAAGCTATAACAAAACCTATTATACTCATATTACTTAGGATTTTTTCAATTGCATAAGCCATGTTTATTAACTGCTAGTATTTCTAAGCAATATTTATCTTCCACTATTTATTAAACATTTAGTGATTATCTGTGAACCTCTAAATAAGGAAAAATGAGATTACCATCTCTACTTCCATAACATCTTGCCCACTTGAAATCCCACAATTTTTGTTAAGTCTTCATTCAGTTTTTACTATGACTGTGTGAACATTATGCACTGCTGAATCAAATGTGAACTGTATTTCCTTTCTGCTCTCTCCCTCCCAAGCAGGGTAATTATTGTTTAATCTTTATGCTGCTTAGTTTTCTGTGACTTTACCACCAGTTCTCTGAAACATATCAAAAGACTTGCAAAGCTCTTTAATAATGTACTTTCAAACCTCAGGTAACACTGTTTTCTCTCAAAGGCTTCCTTCCTAATGCTCCCCATCTTTCCTTTTCCTGTGGGGCTGGGTGGGTCTGCATGGCTGCTGTCACTGTAGCACTCCTTCTGCACCACTGTCCAGGGCATTCTCTTCACCTAATTCTTGTACTGAATATGTTTTTTCTGGGCTTTTCTGTTCATTAGACTTGTTTTTGTGAAACACATTCTCTAAAAGTTTCCTTATACTAGATATGTAGAAAGTAAGCTTTTTTATGTTTTTCTACATTTTTCCATCTCTTGTCTATTTTTCCTACTTTGTAAACAATTTTCTCAATTTTATCTCAGAAACATTCTGAACTTTTATGCTATCATATTTTAGTATTTACTGATCATCTATTATAACCAGGCACTATTCTTGAACAAAAGGCACAAGCACACTAAACACTGTTGGAGAGAAGAAAGAAAATAAACAAAAGCAATAAAACAGCAAAGTATATGGTAAAACTGGACAGTGGCACATTCTATAAGCAAAAGAAAACATAGAACAGGTTAAGCACAACGCAGGGAGGTAGGTCACAAAGCGAGACTGAGTAAATTAGAGTAGGCATCATGAAGACAAGACTGAATGAAGATTTATGGTCTTTCCTTTCATATAGGTCAAGTTTTTATTGATGCTTAGTTTCATTCAAGTTCCAGAGTTTTCTGTTGCTGCTGTTTATTTCACTTATTGATGTATGAATGCAAACGTCTAAGATCAGATCAAGCCTTGGCAGTTCTTTCCTTTCAAAGAGGAAAGTACCAAAACACTGAGTAAACATGTGGGGAATGTCAAGTGGTTTAGTGTATCATTGAAAGAGCTAGGTATGGTGGAGCACGCCTGTAATCCCAACACTCAGGAGGCTGGGGCAGGGGGAGCGCCATGAGTCTGAGACCAGCCTGCGCACCACAGTGAGTTCAAGGCCAGCCTGAACTTTATAATGAAACCATGTCTCAAAAAAAAAAGACTAATTTTCTCTCCAATTTGGTCTACTTTTCCAAAAAAGAACTATCAAGTTTTCTGACAAAGAACATAAACTTACATAAACTTCAAACAGGTAAATTTCAAATAGTAGATCATATGGGAAAGAAATACATGATATTTCAATTATCAGTCTATGGATCTTCATTCTTTGTTATTTGATAAACTCATGCCCACTTTCCCATCACAGGTAGTAAACTCAAATTCAAAGCTTCTACAGCAAACTATTTTAATAATCCTAAAATCACAACTCTCTGTGGCTCAATTTCTAAAATAAACTTCCTATTTCTTCCCAAGATAGCAAAGTGATATCACCTGATGGCAGGGAATAAGGTGATGTAAAGCTCTAAATCCGTATCACAATTCTGTTCTCTGGATTTTTGGTTGTGGTTTTTAACCGTTGCTTTCATTACTTCATCTAAGTTAACTGAATAAGAACCTAAAGAGTTCTAAAACTAAATTGAGTTTGTTTCTTATTAACACTGTTTTCTTTATTTTGCTAAGTCTATTATCACTTATTAATCAGCTACCTATCCTCAAAAAATGTATTCACATCTTCCACCAATTACAGTGTCCTCTTTCATTCTCTCTGACTTTTCAGTTTATATTTTTCATATTCTTAATTCATTTTAATGAGGTTTTGGGGGAACACAGAGATGAATACACATATTGTATCTACCATGTTTAACTGTGAATCCCTCTTGATTTTTCAAAATAAAGCATAACATAAACATTAAAGCACAGATCTAATATAAAAAAATCAAAAAATTTTCTTTTAACCACAAATAATCATCTCTGGCCAAAAGACTACAAACAGCCTGATTTTACATATTCCATAATTTATATGGTTAGGCTCTTTTAAAATATAGTAATAATAATATTAATTTTAAAATACTAAAGCTTTACCTGTAAGATTCTAGAAGATCCACAATTTCAGTCTGCCCAAAGTGTTTAGCCCAATCTAAGGCCATCCTGCCAAAATTCAAAGATAACAGACTAAGACAAAAATAATTTGCTACCGAATTATAAAACTAGCCACTCAAAATTATTTACCCATTAGAGATCAATGATTATTACATAATGGCTTTTAATATAAAGTCAAATATAAGAAGTCAAAAAAAGATACATAAAGATATACAAAAATTGGATGTAGTCTAAAATTACCAGCCATTTGATGCTTTACTATGGACATTGGCTCCCATACTAATTAACTGCTCTACTTGACTTGCAAAGCCTCGGCCTGCAGCAACCATCAGAGCTGTTGCACTGGTTTCACTATGTCTGTAATCAACTAAAAGAAGAAAAAATAAAACTGTTAAACTTCCAAATTATTTAAAACTACTTTAATTTTTTTAATAAAATTTAAATGGCTGAATGTCCAATTAACCTGGGACTTGCTTTCACTTCACATAAGAACAATATATAACCCTTAAATTAGATTATCCAAGGAAATCTGTTACTGATATGTCTTTGTATAAACAGTATCAAACAGACACTGTAAGTTGAAAGCCAGGAAAAGGAAAGATGCTGTTAAACTGCTTAAAATTCACCTATGCAATTAAAACAGAAAAGGTACCAAATTTCAGAACTCATAAATCTCCTTAAATCTAGATGTTGCCTCAATCACCAAATGACAAGATATTAAAAAGTTCATTTTCACCAGCAACCAGTAATTAATCTTTAAAAATTTCTAGCAAAAGTCACAACAAATTTCTATTAACCCCAATTATTCTATGCTACTTTCCAAATGCTTTCCAAAATGCATAATGTGTATGTCTTAGTCTGTTTTCTTTTACTTTAGATGCATTACTATAACCAGCAACTGGGAGATTTATAAAGGAAAGTTGTTTACTTAGGTCACAGTTTTCAGTATCCAAAAGCATAGCATCAGCATGTGCTGAGCTTCCACAGAAAGCCTGATGCTGCCCATCTCATGGCAGAGAAGGGTGGGTGGGTACATGCAAAAAGGGCCAAGTATGTGGGGTAGCCTCCCTTTATAAGGATACACTAGCAGTAACCAATCCTGTACCGGAACTCACACCCTTCTGGAAAAAGAATAAACCCTCTTGCAGACTTAACAACTTCTTAAAGGTTCTGACATCTTTCAACAAAAACAAGTTTGAAACAAATCTCAACATGAGTTTTGGTGAGGACAAACTATTTTCAAACCACAGCAAGGAAAAACACCAGCACAAAGTTTAGTTTTTGTAAAAGTGAACAGAAAAATAAACTCTATTAAAGTTCCTTCCTAGAATCCTTTCTTGAATAATAAATATATAATTGCTTAGCACTGATTTGCTTAAATTACAAACTTGACAATTTTAAAAAGAATTCATCACAAGAAAAAAAACCGCAGTGTAAAATTTAAGGTAATTACAAAGGAAAAAATTTAATTTTCTATATACAGTATACTCAACTACCATCATTATTTAATAAAATTCTAAACACGAATCTGCTATCACTATCAGTCCATGGTTTCAAAAGTGAAGACGGAACCTATAAGAGAATTACCTCAGGCTTTTGTTTTTTAGGACTTTATACTTTACTGTAGTTTTATATTCAATACAAAACTGAGACAAATATAAAGAGATATTCTATATACACTGTTCCCATAATGCATATACATGGCCTCCCTTACTAGTCAAAAGACTGGTATATTTGTTACAAGTGATGAACCTAGAATGACATATAATCACTCCAAATTTCACAGTTTTCGTTAGAGTTCACACTTGGCATTATATAGTCTGAGTTTAGACAAATGCATAATGACATGTATTTTTACTTTTTATAGTATTTTGCTTTTCATTTTTGAAAGCAGAGATAGTCAGTGTGCTATGACACTCAGAGAAACCAGATGCCACATCATGGTGTAATAAAATAACCCTATGGAAGGACACGGACAGCAAGAAGGGCCTTCTTGCAACAGCCTGCAACAAACTAAAGCCTCTTGCCCCTAGCCATGTAAGAGAACCTTCTTAAAAGCAGATCATCCACCAACAACAATCCTTCAGATGATTACAGCACCTATCTATTAATATGTTAAAAGAGCCTTATGAGACAGCACAAGTCAGCTTCATCACCTACATCGCTTCTTCATTCATAACTCTGGAAAACTGAGATAACAAATGTTGTAGGCTGTTAAATTTTGGAATCATTTGTGAGGCAGTAACAGACTATGTTTAGTCTTAGTAATTCTTAGCTGCCTCTACAGGATCATATAGGAAAAGGTTGGAGTCAAAAAAGAAATCTATAAAGACCACAGTTTCTTAGATTACAGGAAGAATTTATTTCCAACTCCTGGACCATAACAAGTTGAAATTTTAAAGACAAAAATATGAAAAGTCATAAACCACAGAACTACAATAATACTTTTGGTTTATTTCCATTGAGTGTAGACATAGAGCAATGGATTTAAGGAAATGTATAAACTATATATATAGAAAAAGCCTAAGTCCTAGGATGACCATTATTAAGTAATATCCAGAAGGAAAAACCAAAGATATTTAGGCATTTAAAATGTTTAAATATTTTAAAGAAATAAAATATGCCTTAGATGGTAAGTTTCTAAAAAATTACTAAATTCACTAGACTAAATTTTTGTCTTTAAATGGAAAAATAAAGAATATTAGAGACAAATACACTTCCAAATACAAAAAAAAACCCTTGTCAACTTATGAATAGATTAAATAATTCAATTGATTAATCAATGTACACAGTATCTGTTAATATTAAAAACAATTAGAAATTTTAAAAAAAGAGCTTCTTAGCCTACTATGGTAGCCTACTCCTGTAATCCTAGTACTCGAGAGGCTGAGGCAGAAGGATTGTGGTGAGTTTGAGATCAGCCTGTGCTACAAAGTGAGGCCAAGGCTAGCCTGAAATGCATAATGAGACCCTGTCTCAAAAAGACCAAAAATAAAAAAAAAAAGCATACTTAAAGTCATCCTTAATTTTGCTCTCACATTTTACATTGGCACACTTCACTTTTTTTTTTTTTTTTTGTCGTTTTCCTTTTTATCGGTACCGGGGATCGAACTCACGACTGCCTGCTTGCAAGGCAGGCACTTATGCAGCTGAGCTAAATCCCCAGACCCTTTTACTCTTTATAATAAATCCTGAATGTGAGAACATATCACATTTCTCTCCTAGAGTATTATAGTAGCCTGATAACTGCTACTGTTCCTAAGTTACTACATTCTGTGCTGGTAAATTACTACATTTTGTGCTCCGTAGAACAATCAAATTGATCATTTCAAAAATTCCCCTAGCCTGTTTCCAACTTTTCCATGCTTCCAACTATATTGTAAGTAAAAATTAAAAGTCCTTTTCGTGATGGCTTTTTTTTTTTTTTTTAATCTCAGTTTCTATTCAGGGCATACTGGTGGTCTTGCTTTTTTTTTTTTTCCTTCTATAAGTTAACATATTTCCATCTTTCAACCTTTTTTTTTTTTTTATGCCCGGAATGAGGTCCCTGTAGACATTCAGGCGTATGGCTCATGGCCTTCTTCATGTAAGGTACTGCTTAGATATTGCCCTTTCTTTGGTACCGGGGATTGAACTCAGGACTGCGCGCTTGCAAGGCAGGCACTTAGGCCGCTGAGCTAAATTCCCAGCCCCAGATAAGTCTTTTCTAATCACTAAAAATGCCTACTCCTTCCTTGCTTACTTTTTATTGTTTTTCATTACCTGACAGCATTTGTTTTTAATTTTGTATTCTCTGTCTTATCCACTAGCGTGCAAATTACATGAGGACAGAAACCTTATCTGTTTTACTCTTCTTGGAGTCTTCTGAAGTTTGTAATGAGTTCTCAAAAAAATTAATAAATAAGTACTTAAAGCATCTTTACTGACAGTGCATTTGAACGCTTAGTGATTGTAACCTAATTTTGTTAAAAATTTTCTTTCAAATTTTGATTGTTTAAATTGCTAATTTAGGCAGATCTGGGGTGCCCTCAGTGGCCTCTCTGCGTGTCTGGAGGACTCTGGATTTCTGCGCCCAGACTGCTGGATTTCCCTCAGGCTTCCAGGTGTAGTGAAGGAGAGAGGTGGGTTTGAGGCTTCCACATCAGCCTCCCCATTCCTGGCTTCATTTGGAGACCTGCTGAGCTCCCGATAGGTGGGCTGGCCCACACTACCAGCCTAGCGCAGCCTGGTTAGCTGCCGCGCCTGGCCATAGGTCTGCAGAGGAGGAGCTGGGCAGATCTGGGGTGCCCTCACTGGCCTCTCTGCGTGTCTGGAGGACTCTGGATTTCTGCGCCCAGACTGCTGGAGTTCCCTCAGGCTTCCAGGTGCAGTGAAGGAGAGAGGTGGGTTTGAGGCTTCCACATCAGCCTCCCCATTCCCGGCTTCATTTGGAGACCTGCTGAGCTCCCGATAGGTGGGCTGGCCCACACTACCAGCCTAGCGCAGCCTGTTTAGCTGCCGCGCCTGGCCACTATGTCTGCAAAAGAGGAGCTGGGCAGATCTGGGGTGCCCTCACCGGCCTCTCTGCGTGTCTGGAGGACTGTGGATATCTCTGCAACCAGGGAGGGTCCACAGGTTCCTGAAGCACTGCGGCCTGTGGTGAGTACCCTAACCCGGCTGCGATTGAAGAACTGTGGAGCTTCCAAGGGGCAGGTGGGCGCACAGTGTCCCTGAGGCCCAGCTTGTCTGGAACTGTGGAGTTCTGAGCAGGCAGAGGAGGGCCACTGGTTCTGTAGGCCTAATAGCTTGGAGTAGCGCGGCGCCAGAGTCCCAGTAGCTCCAAACATAGAAGGGGATTTTCAACAGATCCTGAGGAAGCTTTCAAATAACACTTGAAACACAGAAATATAGGAAAATGACAAAACGAAAGACCAAATTACAACCTCAAACCTCCAGCCCATCTCAAGAAACCCTAGGAGCGATGTATATAGAAGAAAATATATCCCATACACCTCATATATCGGACACAATAGCCACTGAAATTGACAAGCAACTCCAGGAAGCTTTAAAGAAATTCAAACTCGAAATAATCTCCCAGATAAAAGAAGAAATGATAAAAGAAATGAAAGAGATTCTAAATATATCTAAAGAAAACACATAAAAAATTGGAGGAACTAAACAAAAAGATAGAATCCCTAGACGAGCAATATAAGAAACAAACAGAATACATAATGCAGATGCACAGAGATATACAGGAAATAAAAAACTCCACTGAAAGTTGTAAAAACCGCCTTAATGAAAGTGAAGATAGAATTTCAGACCTTGAAGACAGGATTGCAGCTAGTGAACAGGAAAGGAAAGATCTTTTGAAAATAACAAGGAACCAGG